CCCAGTACGTGTGATGGAAGACCCGATTGGACTCGATATTCGATCTGGGTGAAATCGTGCTCACATCTCATGAACTTAGGATATACAGGGGGGGGCAAAAAAAGTCACTTCGACCGAGTCATATATCAGCCAAGTTTTCGCAGCCCAGACAGACTTGGATACGAGTACCAGAGCGGAACATACCAATATGCCCCTAGATAAACAAGAGCTGGCTCTCGCCATCACCTTCATGTACACCAAAATATGAAGTCATCTCCAGTCGCAGCCTGACTGGAGAAGACCTTTGGAATTCATGTCACCTCCAAACAGCTGCGAAACTTCTAGTATGGAGTCACGCATTGGATAGCCCCTAGCCTGGAGCCAGTACTCCTCGATCTGGACGGTACCTCCAGCCATCGCGCACCTCGACAACCGCTCGCCTACGTCCTAGTACATACATCTGTCACCGCAACGTCAGCCCTAAGCCGCGGTTGGTTTATGGACGAAATTCTTGGAATGTGAAGATCACTATTTTTCTTCGTGGACCCCGCGACTGATGAGTGTGAGTGTTGTGTGTGTGTGTTCACACAAGTGAACTCAAAATATCCTCGCGGTACATTGTGGTCGCCCGCTACCGTTCTTGGTATACCTTGTGCTGCTGCGTATATATGTCCATAGAATCTAAGGTTTGGCTAGAGTATATATTAAATATAATGTATTGTATGGTGATATATATGTTGGAATGATCTAAGTAGGTCCACCTGACCTAAATCCCCTCAGGTGTGTAGTCCGGTATCGGCGTGTGTCGGAGTTTTAAATAGTGGGGGTCTACGTGGCGGAGAAATCTACTATATATCTCGCTGATGTAGTGTGATTGCAATTCGGTTGTTGATATCGATAATTCTGTCGATGCGCGACTTGTCAGAAGGCCTGTGGCGGAGTGATAAATGATAGTATTTAATTGTCTCATAATTGGTATCCGATTATTAGTATCTATTCAGAATTCTCCCAAAAAAACTACAGCGCCGAAATGCAACGAGCCCCCGTGATATTATAAAGAGGTGTATGAAGTATTGTGTCTATATTCATGGTCATCATTGCGGTATTTGGAGTTGTTGGTCTTAGCAGTATGAGTTGTCTCTATATGTGGCTGTTAAGTCGTTCTATGTGTGTGTTATAGTTGAAACGCTGTATGCAACAAAAGAAAGTTGTGGTAAATAAGTAATTACGGGGGATAGAATACGGAGATGTGGTCATATCATTTTGTGGTCTGTGTCTGTGTGTGTGTGAGTTGTTACTGGTGTGTGGCGGAGTAGTTGGTGCACCGCGCCAAACGCAGCATTGCCGCCATTGAACCGCTGGATCAGTACGCAATTATGCACTGTTCTTAACATAAAAGAGTACAGAATATATATTGTGTACCATTTGTTACTCATGTCTGTGATCAATAGTTCGTTAAGGTAAATTTGTGGATTTTTTCAAGAAACTCCTCAAGGCTCTTGAGCAGCCCGAGTGACTCAGTATGTCTCGAGTAGAGAGTAGGAGGAATCATTGATGTTGTGTGTGTATGAAGCAGGTAATAGTCGTGTGTGATATGTATAGTAGATCTCAAGCGCTTACGAGTTAACGCACGACATCCCAGCACGACTGATTTCTACGCCCTTAGAGCAAGGCGATGCGCACATTTTTAAGAGGTACCCTCCTATGACCCTATCAAAATTGCCACACATTACCGAATCCAGACCCATCGCTCCCGCCGCCACAATTGTCCACCTGATTCTGATGCTCTGCTCTCACTCCATTCGCAAGCTGAAATATGAGGCGCAGACGATTTAATCATGAAGCGGCTGCCGCTGCTGCATGGATGTATGCTAGTTATCATTATCAAAGCACCGTATGCAGCCGTAGCGGGTTCATTGGCATGATGCCTACGGGAAACTCGTCCGAGATTGATTCATCATTTGTGTAGAACAAACAACAGGCTTTTTTTGCAGTTTTTTTTGACCTTTTCACTTCATTCGTTTTTCGCCAGTTCCCACTAATCAGCTACCTGCTACCATTTCAGACAGAACACCAAATTATCGCACTGCCTTTAAGAATTTCTCTCCTAAGAAAAAGGAATTCTGTAAATCTCTGGAAGGTAAGGTTTAAACGTTCACGATGTGTTGTCGGTATGCAATATGCGTACGGCTGCTCGCGTCATGCTCAAGTGATTTCAGCTGTCTTTAAAATTTTCGCGCACCTCTTCCCCTGTTGAGATGCAAATGTGGCTGACTCATAGCTTATGTCAACCTTTTTTGCCTCTTGGGCTACACTTGATCGAGCACCCTTCAGAAACAGCCATATCCCTGCGAACGACCTCTGAGTCATTGCGTAGCTGAGGCGCTGTAGTAATGCCACATGTGACCTCTGATTGCTCGCATGCATTGTTCCTTTCCGACTTCAATCTCTGGCTTCCCTTCTTTCCGCTCCATTACGTATCCTAACCGTAACACGTTTTAGTCTCAGAAAGTCAACTCTTCATAAAGACTTACATATGTTCAAACAATTATGCTCTCTTCTCTATCAGATGTGTTACTCTCACTTACTGTGAGACCTCTTCTGCTTACGTCTGATGACTCCGCTGACTGCTCTACGATAACGTTTCTCGCTACCATTCCGACCCCTGAGAACCAGGTAGTAAAGTGGCTAGTTGAGCCACTTCCGACAACGCCGCTTCGGGCGCCGATACTGGGTCGGATCCTTGCTATCCCAACCATTGGTGGGATCCTTGGTACCAAAACCGTCCACGAGAACCCGCAGTTCATTCTTCGTTCGAATTTCACTCCAATGCCACTACGAAGCTGAACTGGGGTCGAATGAATCGGAGGATTTTGACAAGGGTGAATCAGGTCATCCTCAATTTTCCTTCCAGAAGAGAAACTGGTGGGAAGGCTTTGTTATGTTTTGAAGGATTTATAATTCATTCACAGGCACATATAGATTCCTCCTTCAGCGCTGGCTTTGCCGTTTCTATTGCATTTATTGGTGTGATCCTGAACTGAAACTGAACTAAATTCACTTGAATGAACTTTCGCACTATTCCACACTTCAACGTAGCCTGTTCAACAGCTGCTGACTCATGAGTGACACCTCCTAATCTCACTCCTATCCCTTAACGAAAATACAGAAAAAGCTGAGTGAGTAGAAGGACGGTTTGAAATAGGTGACTTTCTGAAGGTTGATTCTGACGATGAGTGGGAAGACATTTTGATAGAAGAAGGTTGTTTTGTGAAGATCCGGAAGTCGAGGACAGGGGATAGGAAGGTCGCCGTTGATAACTTCTTACACTGTCTTACTATTCGACCAACCTATTTTTATCTCATTCCCAGAATTCCTTTTTCTGGCTATCATGAAGTTAACACTGACAATCAGAAATTAACGTGCATTTTCATTGAAACGGGGAATTGGTCCTATGATAGTGCTTTGAGTCGTTTATGAACAGCTCTTAGCTTGCTTCCTCCTTCTATTGTCGTGGTTGAGCTGACTTCACTTTATTAGTACCCTAAAATCCCATAGATAAGAGCGGTTTAATTTACCGGTGAAAAATGAATTGGAATGAAATTGAAAAATGCAGTCACCCCTCTAACTTGATGGATGGATAAATAAAAATCGGAGAAGAAGTTTAGAAGAAGCTCCGCCCCTCAACTCTAAACCCCGCCCACTTAATAAACAATTCATATAGAAAAATAGCGAAGAATAGAATCATATAGAATCATATAGAAAAAGAGTATAGAAAACAGTAAGAATAAAGGTAGAGTTG